GGGGGGGGGGGGGGGGGGCAAGTGTATTTTCGTGACTCGTGATTAGAAATTATTCGTGCTTCATGATTCGTGATTTAAAGAAATGCCATTCCGTGAATCGTGATTAATATGCGTGCCGTGAATCGTGAAGAGCTAAAAGGCTAGCTAGGGTCTTGAATTTACTAATATTTTACCCTAACTTCTGAATGTTTACGTTTAAACTCGGCCTTAATTTAATATTATGGGAAAAAATGAATAAATTTGCTTCCCGCAGTTGTCTTTCTTGAGACTTCTTCGTTTCATCGGCAATTGGTGCATCTTAAGCTCCTATTGTCTTTTTTTGTGCGAAACATGTTTGCATGTAGTTGACAGGTTCCTTTGTCATTAACCTTAGTAGGCCGTTTTCTGCGTCCTGATATCGTTCACTTTCATTAAGCATGTCTTGCGTTACGAAAGTATTAAAAATAGTATAAAAATAGTTCAATTTGCACCCCAGGTAATTATAGATACTAGTTACGTCAAATGGAGAGATAATGAGCATTTTTGCTGTAAAACGCAGATAAAGTATATATCATTTCGGACGTGCGTAAAAGTGTCAATTATCTGTCCATTAGGCAAGATAAATAATTCGTCAATTTGTCAAAGATGGACGATAACCTTGCATGGTGGGCTGTTGTGTTTACATAATTCAAAGTCCAAGGCTGGTTCTTCTTTGACATGAAAATGTGCATGCTTAGGGCCTTTCTGTCAATCATTCTTCGGTATATTTCGCGCGGTTGAGTAATTATAACATTACGTCATCAAAATCTTGGTTCAATAAAATTGTAAGTAAATTTAGTTTAGTAGGTAAAGTAAGGTTCACATAGGTATAGGTTGAAGTTTTTACTATGATATTTTGATGAGTATTTTAAGTTGTGAACATATTGTAATGATGATCGATTGAACAGCGAACCAACTCAACCAGTGCGACAACGCCTTAAATAAACAGAATGTGAGAGCTGGAACGAGCTAGCAACGCCAACTCACACCTTTAAACCTCAACGTTGATTGGCTGGATACAAATCACACCACTTGCTACATCACGTGTAGAAAGATCCCTCAACCGTTAGTATAAAAGGGCGCGCACAACCCAAATTCGTCAGTGGACGTAGACGAAGTAAAGCTTAAATTATGAAAAGCTACGAAAACTCAAAACGAAACAGCACGAACAAAGAAGACAGACTAAAGACAACGAAGATTTAAAGGAATGAGTGAACGTTAGTAAAACTACAAGAAGAACCTGCCTGAACACGAAGGAACGAACCGTATTGAACATTTAAGAACTGTTAGTTATCTAAATTTGATGTAACGATTCCCTACCTCGCGTAGAAAAAAGAAATAAAATATATATTTCTAACACTTGGAACAGAAATATTTTTACGGGAACTAATACTTTCAAGCACGCTGAGTTCGAATCCGAAAACTTCCCGCGCGTAAACCCGCAGTTTTCTCACAAAATGCTATTTTATCTTCGCTAATTTCACAGCAAATCTTTTCATTGTTCAACGACACGGATCGATGACGCCACGCGATTATATCACTCAAAACGACCAATTTCCTTTAACCAGTCTCGTTCTAACCAAATGCCGGTTTTGCCCGGATTATTTTGAGTTAGCTATGTAATCTCATGCGTGTTGCACGTAAACAACATATCTTGTCTACAACTTTGGGAAGGTACAGATAACGCGTTCTAAAATCCTCAGTTCTAGCGATATCTCTGTAAAATCACAAGGACGTTAATGCTAAGTCTTTTGGCTATATCACTGGCCTGAAAAATAACTAATTTAACGCGATCAACGTATTTAATTAAAACAAACGTAATGCGAAGCCAACGTAACGGCAAAGACAACGCTAAAGTGAAATATTGTCGATTGATTGCTAGTAGAAGACTTACCACAGGATGAATCTTAAATAACCTTAAACTAGGGGAATAAATGTTCATATCATATCTCATATCAAAGACAAAGACCAGTGCCAACGTATAAAATCTGCTCTGTAAACTTACAACGCAGTGGAGAAATGTGTGCATAAGCTGTTTATTTGGTTATTTCAACGTATATGCATGGCAGCCCTCTTTCCAATAATATTCGCTTATCGCACAGAATAACACCAACTGATATAATAGTTCAAATGCAATGATAAGTTACCTCTTGAATTACATCCCAGAAACTGTGTTGGAAATTTAAATGCTGACCCATTTCATAAGATTACCGTTTTACATCGTTGTATAAAACATTTTGATCGCATGTAAGGAATTATTTCTCATCACAGAGATATAGCCCAACGACTTAACATTGACGTCCTTGTGATTTTATAGAGATACAGCCAGAACTGAGGATTTTACAAAGCGATATCGGTACCTTCCCAAAGTTGTAGACAAGATATGTTGTTTACGTCCAACACGCTTAAAATTACATAACTCAAAATAATTCGAGCAAAACCAGTCTTTTGTTCAATGTAGAGACTGGTTCATAGGAATTAGCCATTTTGAATTATGCAATCGTGTGTCTTCATCCATCCGTGTCGTTGAAGAATGAAAAAATTTGTTGTCAAATTAGGGAAGATAAAATAGCAGTTTGTGAGAAAACTGCGGGTCTACGGTGCGGGAAGTTTTTAGAGTTGAACTCGGCGTGTTCGAAAGTGTTAGTTCCCATAAAAATATTTAAGTTCCAAGACATGCTTAATGAGAATCGTTTTCTAGGCACTTTTCGAGGTCACAGCAAACGTCCTACAGGTATTGTGCGTGATTACAATGTGCCCAGGTTCCCATTGCGGTTATTCCTAAAGTCCTATTTTGAATAGAATTTTCCGGACTAAACACCGACTCTCGATCGTGGACTGTCCCTCGTTTCTGATATTGACATAATGGCTTTAGAACCCTTTATCTTGTTACAAGCAACACATATACGAAATCATAAATTAAACTTGCTGATATTTTGAAAAAATAAAACAATTCCCTCCCCTGTTGATCCGCAATTTTGGTTTTGCTCAAATAGGCCTTCCAAGGTTAGGGACGCCATCTTGAAAATATAGTAATTACATTGTTTTCGCCATTCTGTTCGCACCCCCGGCCCATGCAAATTTACCTGTAGGGAATTCCATTGTGTTTGCACTTTGCACCCCTTGCACTATTGTGTTCCATTATGGCGACGTCGTTAACCTTGAAAGGGTCTATTGACCCATACAAGCTTATAATAGAACATTTCGTTATGTAATAGTTAAAATATGAGCAGCTGGTCTTTATGGGTATTTACATTAGCATGCTATTAAAACGTAAATTAGTATTGTTAACTTTCATAAAGATCCATGCTTCTCAATTAGTATACGTATTGTTAACTTTCATAAACATCATTCTAATACGTTTTTCTGATCTTTAATGCGGTTTACAAGTGTGCACATGTGAC